CGGGGGGCGTCCGGAAGTAATGGCTCTGCCAATTCCTGGGCGTCCCCCAAGTTACAGCACCGCGCATATCACCGTGTGGTTTTAGTGAGGTAAGCCCAGCTGCCGCAACGTCAGCGGCAGCAGCCGATTGTCATTAGGCGGGCAGTCCCACATAACCCGGGCCACTTTGTAAACTCCCTTCCCAGAGGGGGGCCCGGGTATCCATAAAGGATTTCCACACGTAAAAAAAAAGTGAGTGATGGCTCTGGTCTGGCGGTGAGAGGACTTCCGACGAGGGAGTGACCTAGCGTGAGTGCAGAGATGTCTTCTGAGTCGTCACTCAATGGTTCGAGAGGTCGCGAGTTGAGCATTGCCTCAATTTGAGTGAGCAATGTGGTGAGTTCCTCAAAGGTGAGTACGGCTTCTCCAATGGTGCGCCGTAGTTGGAATTTGATTGGTTTCACGATGGCCTCCCATTTTCCTCCCATGTGAGGTGTCGCTGGGGGATTGAATTCCCATCGGTTGTTATGTTGCGAGAGCAGGTGAGAAACTCGCTGATGTTCTTGAGTGCTCTGGATAAAGAACCGTTTGAGAGCCGTATCCGCGCCGATGAAATTGGTGCCGCAGTCTGATTGTAAGGTGTGAGCGATGCCGCGTCTGGATGAGAAGCGTCGATAGGCGGCAATGAACCCTTCGGATGAGTAATCACTAACCGCCCCGAGGTGTACTGCTGAAGTTGAGAAGCAGACAAAAACGTAAGTCCAGTCTTTAGTGGTCTTGGCACCTCTTCCTTTCCATGTTTTGACGGTGAGTGGCCCTGCGTAGTCCACACCTGTATGAGTGAACGGTCGTGCCTGCGTACCCCGAGAGAGAGGTAGTTGGCCCATCAATTGATGAGCACGGATCCCCCTCTGCCGAGCACACGTGACACACCGCAGAATGTGAGACTTGACAGGAGCCCTCCCGCCGAGAATCCAGTATTGTTGTCGGATGTGCGACAGCGTAAGCTGCGTGCCTCCATGTAGAGTCCGTTGATGAGCGTGAGCGATGATCAATGATGATAGCTGAGAGTGACGAGGCAATATTACAGGATGTGTCGCATCGAGTGAGAGAGCTGCGTGAGCGAGTCGTCCGCCGACGCGAATGACTCCTTGAGCGTCGATGTACGCAGTTAATCGGTTGAATGAGTGTGCCTTTGCCAACGGTGAGTCTGCTTGTAGCGCCTTGAGCTCGTGAGAGAAGTATGTTGCTTGAGTTGCCTGAATCCAGAAGAGCCTCGCTTTCTCCAAGGTCTCTGGAGAGATGTGTCTAACAGGCAATGAGTCGTGGACCTTCCTCACCCGTGAGACGAATCTGAAACAGAGAGCTGTAATCCTCAATAGTTTAGTGAGGCTTGAGTACCTGTATTTGAGTTCCCATTGATAATCAGTCCTTGGCGTAACCGTCAATAGCGAAACGCCTGGGCGAGCTTCTGTATGTATGTATGTATGTATATATATTTACAGCTTTCCCCATGGGGATTCGCTCTCTTACATGGCGCTTTTACTAGGAGCGTACCCGAACCTTTCACAATTTTTCCTTTACCTATAACTCATAATTGGCGCTTTTTCAGGGAGCGTTCCCGAACCCTTTACAATGTTCCTTTCCCTCCGCGACCTGGCCATAAGCGACCTTTACACACTTTTCCCTCCCTCCCCTCGGCCCACCCCTCCTGCCTCTCCTCCCACCCTTCCCGTTCCGTTGCCTCTCCCACTCCCTATCTTTTCTTCCTTCTCCTTCTTCTCTCACGTTCTCTCTCCTCCTCGTCCTCCATCCTCCTTTTCTCGCTCTTTTCACTCTCCTCCTGTTCCGCTTTCCTCCTTCTTCTGTCTCGTCCTCCATCCTTTTCCTTTCGCTCCTCTCGCCTCCTTCTCCTTCGAGCGTCCATTCCTCCTTTACTCCTGTCTCACACCTTCTTCCTCTTCCTACCTACAACATCCATACTTAATTCATGTCTCTTCCTCCCGTCCCTTTCCCCTCCCTCTCTCCGATTCCCCACTCTCCCTCACCCTCTCCTGCCCCCCTCTCCCATATCCATTCTCTACCATCCACCCACATTCTCCTATTCTCTACCCTCACCCTTCTCCCCCTGCTTCTCTCTACTCTAGCTCTTTCCACCATCTTCCACCTTC